TTGCTTGGCGCATTAGTTGATTGGTCAGTCAAAGACCAAACCAATGAGAGCAGCGCCTTCCCCACCGAGTCTCCGCATGAGCCGCGCTTGGGGGCGGGGTTTGTCAGACACCCTTTTTCTCAATGGTTTGTGCCACCCAAGATGCCACATTTTGAAGGGGAGCCCAGGACTCATCAGCCCCAATTGCGACTCAACCACTAATCTCGACAACCCAAGTTCTACCAATTTTCACCACCCCCCCCCCAACCCCCCCAACCCGGGCCAGCTGTCGCCAGGGCTCCACGACTTTTGGTTCGCCGGCGCCTCTGCGTCCCTGGACGCCTTTGCGGCCTGGGGAGAGCAGCGGGAGGCGCTGCTGCCTCGCTTCGGCCTGCTGTCCGAGGAGATCCCGGCGCCTCGGAAGCGAATCGAAGGCGGCGACCTTCTGGACCGCAGAGGTGCTGGGTGCGTCGTTTTTTAGGGACCCGTCCCCCCCCAAAAAAACCTGAATGTGATTTTGCTTTTGGTGCCCTTTAAAGCTAGAGAGAAGGGAGGTACCCCAAAATTAGAGAGCCACGGGTGGTTGCTTTGTTTCCTGGGGAAACGGTTTTGGGACCCACAACCTACTGAGAACCAGCAAGGTGAATGTTCCCTAAAGATGACCAACCTTTCATTTGGGTTGCAGGATACAATCTACTTGCGAGATCGCTATAAATAGGCTGTTATAATCACGTAAAAAGAGTGGTGTTGTCTTCCGACCACTTGTCTTTGGAGAGGTAACCCTACACTTCTTCAACGCGTCAAAGTGTCAAGATCGCGCCTTGTTGTGATTATTTGGATCTATCCGCCCATCCGATTCCTTTCTGCAAAGAGGTGGGTGTGTCTCAAACTAAGACTCCGAAAAAGGATCAACATAGTTTTTTTCTGTTTAGTTTCTCTTAAACCGGCCCCCAACAAGGGTACCCCCAGCCTGATTTCACGGGACGCCCCAGGTGGATGTGGGGCACTTCTACACCTACCTCCACGCCAAACAGCTTGGCCTCCGCCTAGCCTTCACAGGCCAGGGCTCGATGAGGGGGGAGGCAGATCTCGCTCAGGAATTTTGCCGACCCGGTACCCTTTGTGGAGTTTGCATGTTTCAAAGAAGCCTTACAAAAGCCATCCATTGCGATTTTGTTTTCATTGGGACACTCCCATTTGTCTTTGGGGTTCCTCCACGAAGCCTTTAGCGTGAGGCATCAGCTACTTGGACTACACACTGGTCCGGTACAAGGACCCGGCAAGGGCTTTGCTTAGGGCAGCGGTCTCTGGGTCTGTGTCACTATGCGAGGACCTCGAAAATGGTGGTTGTCCTTTTCGCAGGCCCCGGGACGAGCAAATGAGCAGGGCACCACAACACAACGGATTGCACATGAGCAAGCGGTTGGATGCTTCCATGCACCAGCCAGTTTTGGCTACCCTTTGAACGTTGAAAAGACTACCCTCTAATACCCAACCAAAAATTCGATGGTTTGTCTCAAAGTGGGGAAACTCCCAAAGGGGGGTTCAGTAAAGTGATCCCTCCAGCCTCCAAATACTTTCAAGTACATACCAAAGCAATCTTTCTCCTAATAGTTGGAGAAGCCGTTCTTTGGGGGCTGCGCTGAAAATTAGAAGCTGCCAATGCCTTGCAACGATCAGCATGTATAATTATGGTCACACAATCCTCATCATCGTCATCGTCATCATCATTGTCATCGTCATCATCATTGTCATCGTCATCCTCATCCTCATCGTCATCATCGTCGTCGTCGTCATCATCATCATCATCATCATCATCATCATCATCATCATCATCATCATCATCATCACAATCATCATCATCATCATCATGACAATCATCACACACCAGACATATTGCCCAATTTCGCCTGTTTCTGACCCTGGGCGATCTTCGTTCTTGGTGATTAGCTGGGTGCAAATGCTAAATCACCCCCGAAACACAACGCCCCAAACCAGTCCTGAGCCAACTCTTACTCACCTTGAAAGAATCCAAAATTTGCCCTAAATCAACCTAAACCAGCGCGAGTCCAAATCAAGCCCCCACCAACTGAGGCGCCGAAACGCCAAACCTGCGACAACGCACACAGCCCGCCAAACCGAGGAAACTGTCAAACCCTGCTCTTTCGTTCGTTCCTTTTCGTTCTTCCTGGCTTGCTTGCTTGTTTGCTTATTTGTTTGTTTGCTTGCTTGTTTGTTTGCGTATCTTTATTTTTGCCTACTGCTTGGTGTGCTTCGGCCTTTGTGGGGTTTGGTGGACAGGACTGCAAGCTTCAAGTGGGCCCGGAGCTTGGCCTTTGCGCCCCAAGGAACGGAACCCGATGTTCTGGGGGTCCAGTTGGAAGACCATGTTCCGTGTTAGTGGGGAACCCACGTTGGACAGGAGGGGATATTTTTAGGGTACCGGGTAGACTGCATATCAAACACAAGCTGAGCTCCTTTGTCTTGATTTTGCATTTGTTTCGGTGTACCGCAGATTTGGGCCAGGAGTACGTTAAATGTCCGCATGCGTGTCATATACGACGGGCCCAAATTCCCAGAACAGGATTGTCTGGTACTTCAAAACCAAATTGAGTCATGATCATGGGAAAATAATTTGTGAAGTTATTTGACTCTTGCACTAATCATGTTTGGATGGGTTGGGAGCCGAACATTGGATCAAGACGTGAGAGGCCCGAAAAGGAGGGCCACGTTAAAGGACGCCCAGAGCCCACGATGTTAGCCAACCTCCCGAAAGACTACTTTTGGGTGAAATTGCATGGCACAATTCCATGATTTGGTTGAGTCATCCCATTGCCCACATCAAAGGACTTGTACCATCTTTCACCCAGTGGTGTAGCCAGGCAGAAAATCGGTGGCTTGTCCGGACCTTCCTTCCGATGCTGTGGGTGTTCTGTTCAGCCATGCTGCAATGACAAGCTGAACCCCCTCCCCCCCCCCCCCCCCCACCCGTCCCTTTGGCAAGCTGGGACAATTTTAACCCGCTCCTCCACGGTAGATAATTGTCAGCCTAGACGCTTAGCCTCTTGCTTGACAAGATGTGTGCCTGTTTTATAATGAGCTCGATGAAGGACATGTTGTAGAATTTGTACATCCATACACTATGATCCTCATTGATCCCCAATATGCTGATGGCTTGAAACTCATTTCAGGGTCCAAGTCTACCCCCACAAAACATGACACTCACACAGCACACGCACTCATAGGCTGTGCAAACATCTCGTGGCCAGTGGCTTGCTTCTGAGGTGAGGAGATTCAGCCTCCGGACATCTTCTGCAGCCACTGGGAGATCAGCATCATGAGGCCCGGGCTCGAAATTTGACCCTTGAACCTCAGGAAGGCAGGTGGGTGGGCCAACTTGGGTTCTGAATCCAAGGCGATTGCCTTGGTCTGTGGAGTGGATGTCACTTTCTGATTTGGGGCTGTTGTGTGTTTTGGGGCAGTTGGCTCTGGCGGGCCAACACGAAGGGGCGCAGGCAAGGGGTAAAACGTAATGGGGGTGACAATTGCAGGAAAAACGCGACACAACATGTTTTTCATGACCCATCCAAAAGGGGCGACATATCCATAAGATTCCAGAAGAATCGATCTTAAAGGTGGCACACACGCAGCAAAAAGCGAACACCCGCAACATGTCGAAGGGTCGATCCCTCAAAGAGTGCTCCAGAGCGCAAACTGCACTCAAAAGGTTGTGGCGATGGTGCCGCAAAAGATTCGCCAAAGATTCGCTAACAGGTTGTTCTGCAAACATGGCTGTTTCCGGAAGCATTAATATGTGATCGGCCTTTTGCAGTGGGGGCGATAGCCACGCAGCTGCCCAGGCAATGCCAGAGCTGGCTGCCCAAACCCCACGGCTGGGCGCGCGGCCTGTGCCCCTTGCGCAGCAGCTGGTGTCCCTAGAAGCGCTGGCATGTGGGTGTGTTTTGGTTTGAGAGTCCCACAATTTGTTGGGAGTGTGGGGATACCAATGGAGAATGAAGTCTGCATACCCTTCCTGTAGGCTCCTTGTTCATCGGGTGGAGTCAGGCTGTAAGGGGCTGATGGAGGCAAGAGGCAAGTTAAATGATTCGGCCGCTCGAGAGCTAGGTTCGGGGGCGGCTGACCCTAGGCGGGCCAACAGAAAACCAACGTAGCATACGTAGTGGCTCAATTCTAATGGCGAACAAATTACCCCACGAAGAAGGACATTTTAGAACATGCGCCCGCCTGCTTAAGGGTCCAGGATGTTTAGTTTGGAGCGCTGCGCTTTTGACCATGGACCAAACTTCGATGGAGACGGGGAGACTTGGCGTCATTATGTTTTATTTGTTTTCCTGAAAGGCGAAAACCAACCAAACAACAAGTGGGTCGCTCTGCGGAAGGTCGCAGGCTCGAATCCTGCCAGCACCCGCTTGAAATCTGCCATGGTTTTGTGTCCTTTCGTGGAGAAGCGCGGGCGGATCTTACGTAAGTGTTCCGCCCAACATCAAGGCCAATCTTCCTTGTGCCTGGGTAGTTGGGGCTGTCTGAGCCGCTGGCTGAAGACTTCCCAACTCAGTTCAAGGGATGCTCAATGCACCTTGCCACTTGGGGTTGGCAGACAAGGTCCTTGCTGGCTCCCAGCCATTTATTCAGCTTTTTGGGTTTTTAGGGTTGGTGGTAGTTTCCATCTTAAGCCACAAGTTAAACTGTTAGCATGGGATCTGAGCCCAGAGTCATGGATGAAGCCCAGCGTCCCATATCCGGAGTCCAGCCCTTGAGGCCCTGTGGCCGGCCGCCGCGCCCTCCTGGCGCCCGGAAGCCGCAGCTGCGGGCGCTTCTGAGCCGACGAAAAGAACAACACACGGCAGGGGAGGGGGCCGGACGGATTTTGTTTGGCGCACTCTCTGCTGAGTTTTTGGACTTGTTTTTCTTGAAGGTTTCTGCACTTGCGCTCTATCGACTTTTTGGGAAGACCGTTTTGGCAGCAGAACACCGAGCTTGAGAAATTGTGTTAGCCTATCCACTCGAGCGAGTTGGGGTTCTCTGGCACCGTTGCTAAACCTAAGCGATGTCATATGTTGCAACGGCTTGGTTTCTTCTGGCTATTGATTTTCGCAATTGACCTTCAGCGACTTCTGCCAGTGAATTTGGGAAGACTTCAGCAGCCGTGATTTGGGGGTTACTGCCTCCGGCAAACAATGCCAGAGAAGCATGTGTACACCTGAGCTGTTTAAATCCACAAGATCCTTCCCTTGGGGAAGGTACACATCTCGATCAACTTGAATGCGATTCGGCAACCATCAGCCTGAATCTCTGCCTTGCCATTAAAAGAAGAAACAGACCTGGTCCCCTTTTAAAAGAAGTGTCGTTTCAGCAAGAAATGGTTTACACATGTTTGAACGACGGGTTGACCCAACCTTGCCGGCTGACCTCCACCGGTCAATGGAATGACTACCCAACCCGCTCCGCCATTGGCCGTTTGGCTCAGCAAGAGGGTGTTTCTGCGCCCCGCCACAGGCGCCGGCTGCCTACAGAGTTTTGTGTTGGAAGTGAATGTCGAATTCTGATGTTTTTGATGCGTAAAATCATGGACAAAAATCTAAGGCTCCGTAACCGGGCTAGATACCCCTGGCATATGCGTCTATACACGCTATGCATCATGTATGAAACCGCCCCGCCCACAGATAGGGATACCTGGCCATTGGTAATTGGTCCAAAGTTAGCATCTCTCCAGAAAAGCCAGCAAAGAAGAGAACTGATGAATCCGAAGTTGACATTTGACATCCAAGTACCCCAGACCCCAAAGGGGTACATCAGGAGCCCCAGAAGCACTTGGACCCTGCATAGTTCTTCGATCAGTGAGCCTAAGGGAAGATCTTTGGACCAAAATTTCGAGGGCTAATCCGCTCTCCTGGCAGCCCTCGCGTCACCTGAGCCGCAATCCGAGTAGATGAAGGTTAGTAAGGGGCAATCCCAGACAGAAGTAGCTGCGGCCGCCTTTTGAATTCCTTCATGGATTTGCGTAAGCCATTTTAGTACCAGGTTTTTATTGTGACTCGCCTTTAAATTCATCCGCACCGTCCTGCGAAACAGACAGGAGTTTTGCTCTCGAAAAAGGGAAGCACCACTGGGAAGCAGGAGCAGGAGCGGGATTCTCCTACATGTCTTGCCTTGACCCCCATCGGCTTAATAGGCATTGCAGTTCCCTGTACAAACCGTTTTAACCATGTTAGAACACAAAGTCAATGAGTTTTGGTCGCTCAAACGGTTCTAAGGGTTGTTGATACATGCAGGCTCTTCTGCGGCGTCGGACGTGACCCAGTGATGGGCGAGTCCCTGTCGCGGCCGAGGGCTGAGTGAGCTTGGGGAGCGCACCCAAACGGGTGTGCCGTCTTTTTTGCAGGTATCGTTTGCCTCTTGGAATTGGTTTAAACGGAAGCCCACAGAAAACCATCTTCATCTTGAAGAGGGGAGTCCATCTTTAGACCGGTATGAGCACCTGGCGAGTAAACCGGGAAAGGGTCAACGCAAGAACCCGGTTTCACCAATGCAAGGTCCTAAGGTCTTGTGGAGCTGGTTTCGTTTGTGAGCCTTGCGAAACTGAGGTCAATCCAGTCATGCTATGACCCAGAAGGCACGGCAACCATCATCCGGAAGAAGAAGGCTGGAGCTCTCCAGAATGGCGAATGCTGATGGTTCAGGACCAATCGAATCTAGCTTGCTTTGTTGTAGTTTCCCAGCAGTGAAAAAGGACCAGTTGCCGGGGGACTTAGAGCAGGCCAACATCGGGGTCAACATGAAGGCCCCCCCCAAACTTGCCTTTAAAAAAAAAAGAAAACGAGTAGCCTCAAGAAGAGACAAACCAGGGGATGAACAGTTTTTTCCGAGACACGGCTCGATCGATCCGGTCCGTGGGGCCCTTGGATCTGATCTCCGGGGACGGGGCCCCCCCTCCCCTCCGTTATGGGTTCGAAATCACCTCACGAGGGCAGCACTTGGAAGGGGTTTGCTACGAGAGTTTCACAAAGAGTCTTCTGAATTCGACTCTAAAGAAGACCTCACTCAAGTTCCTGGATGTTTCAAATTTTGGGTTCGGACCATTTTAGTGGTAGCAAGAACAACGGCTACTTTTGTTGGGCCAATCCACTCAAATGCGAGATCCGGTGTTAGCAACTTCTGGGACCCGTTGTTTGCTGAGTTTTCGGCGCTGGAGAGCTGTGGGCACCCTGCTGGTTTGCCCCAACAGGGGGTCCATTTATCCCCATAACGGAGGATGTACACATGGGTACTGTGTCAAGGTCCGCCAGGCGGAAGGTTTTTTTTCTCCATCATGCGGGGCTTCAAAACAAATTGGTTTGTGGGGAGCCCATGTGGCCATGGCCCAAACCCCAAACGGCGGCTTGGTATGACCAACACCTGCGTAACCCCAGCTCGCAGGGTTGCCTCGGCAAGCCCGTGAGGCGCAGCGCGCAGCGCTGAGCCAGTACGAGGAGGGTCAAAGGGTACGATTTGGGGAGGGTAAGTGGAAACGGTCGGTTTCATGCTGTGGGCATGGCATGGCGAGTTCCCGCAGTCTCAGGGATCCCCCAAATGGTTTCTGGTTGGTTTCCTGTCAAACCCAACCAACAGATCAACATGGGGGGCGACCCCTGAAAGGCTGTTTTCGCTTTTCGTCTCGCATTGAACCAAGCGGAAACGGGCACAAAAGAACTACAGCCCTTCCAACCCCTCGCCTTTTTGTGGTTTCCCGTTAGCTGCCCTTCAAAACCGCCCAACAAGGACATATGGGTCTGTCTTTTCTGGACTGCACCCCGTTTTTGCGATGCTTTTGGACACCACAAAAGGATTACCACAATCCATCTTGTGGTGTCCGATTCCCAAGAAAGGAACCGAGCCGCGCATACCCGGCCAGGAGCTACTGAAGCGGGTGGCCGACCGGGATCCCAGCGCTGCGCAGGAGGCCAGCGCTCGGATTTTGCCTGACGATTTTTCCCATAGCCTTCTCGGGTGTGTCTCTTGTGGGTGGGGGTCCCTCCATGGATGTTGGGATTTTTCAATTGGTTTCCCTTTGAAGCCATCACAAAACAGGTAACCTAGAAGGGGGGTGGCTTAATGGAAGCCAAAAGCACCACCACTCCATGTTTGGCAACATCCCCCTGACTTACTGACAGAACCTGACTTGTGCCACTTCCACTGGTCCGACCTGGCGTGAGAAGCACGCGAGGGACTGTCAAACACAGGGGGCGACTTTGTGGGCCACCTTCAATGTACTGCGGATGAACAAAACCGTAGGAAACCTTTCTTTGTTGGCATTTACAGAGGAATCATCCTTCTAGGATTTCTTAGGTGGTGCAGGATTTTGTCCATCTTCAGAGGTTTGGAGGGGGGGCCCCAGTTTGACAGCCCGGACACACAGGAATACGTTGTACGACACTTGAGACGCCTCACAGGTGGCTTTGGTGGTGTCGTCCAAAATTGGACCACCTCCAGCACAGCCCCCTTCAGTTATGTGGTTAAGTAGAGAGACGGCTAAGCAAAGAATGAATCGTGCCATCGTTCACCCAACTCTACTTTGGACACACCCTAACTTAATTGATGCCTTTGCAACGCTGTCCTGAAAACCCCCTGGCGCGACTGCTTTTGGGGGGATAGTTTGGCCTCAAGCACGGAGACGTCGACAGCTGAACCCGCGATCATTTGACAGGGTTCCCTATGTTGCTCTGTTGGGGGGTTTAAGCATCGCCTCTTAGTTCCATTTAAAGTCAGTTGGTGATGTTTCAGGGGGAATTCTGCGGAGCCTTGTTTGATGTGAACGGACCGGTCTGGGTTAATTGATCAAAGGATCCCATCAATCAGCCAGGGTGCTTGTTACGCTGCCTTGGCCAGGTCCTGCAGTTTGATCAGGAGAACAGGGGCAAGGCGCGCGCGAGCGTGGTCTATGGGGGAGCATGAGCTTGCAGGCAACTGGTGTACCTGAACTTTCCAGGGTTGATCCAACGTGACGCGCTTGTTCCTAGGCAATCACACGTTTCCTTGGGTACTCTCCTTCGACTAACATAGCACCTGGGGGAGGGTACCTGGAGGATCATTTTCCTTTTGTAGAGACCCCCTGTCAGGTGCCATGTTAGTGGGATGGGGGGTATCCCTTTAACATCAACACGTCCCATGAGTAGGAACCCAGACTCGGCGTCTTGTCGCGGGCCCGTGGAGGGGCCCACCTGGCCAGCGGCTAGCGATTCCAGCGAAATCATCACCCAGACAACTGACCACTTTTGGTTTTTTATGCGGATCCCTGCTCGGACCTATGCTGTCCTTCTTTTTGCCCGGTTGGGTTTCAAGCGTCGCTTTTTTTGCCAACCACGAAGCAGCTTCCAGGGGGTCTTTTCCAAACACATCTCAAATTTGATGGACTAAATATGGGCCAGAATCTGAGGACATATCTTTTGTGGACCCCAGATCTGTGTCAAGATTCCCTGACAGCACCACGCCATGGAGCAACCAGCCATTTGGGCATCTGAGTTTGGATGACCAACTGCCATCCATCGGAACTCGCGCTTGTGCGGAAACGAGGCGGACCCTTGCAAATCGTTGGTTTCCCTCTCTGTTCCGAATTCTTTGACCAATCATGTAAGTGAACACACCAAAAATGTCAAGATGGCAGTTTGCCTCGGAGGAGCTTTTCCGAAAGTCCAGTTTGTGTTCAGTACGGGGCCTCATGTGAAGAGCCTTCACAGCGCTAGACACCCAGCTCGCGACTACGCGCGATGCCAGGGACAGGGGGAGTACAAGGGAAAGTTCTGGCTGGAGCTTCAGCAGCACGATGAATGGCGCCTGGGACAGCGTTTTGGCCGGGGGCGGGACCGCTGAATCCGCTTATTTTGGGGTTTTGCGGGTGAGCTCCACGCTGTTTGTTTTGTTTGTGAAAGTTTTCACTGTCGTGTTCATATGGGACGCTCTGAAAATGAAGGCGGAATCTCAAACAGGGGTTTCCCAAAGGGGGGAAGGGTTGGTCCGGGTAGGGGACAGCTTATTTGCTGCTAGAAGGAGAAGAGGCCAAGGTCGAGATGTTCAAAGTTCTGGTCGAGCTTGAGAACTCCCCTTTGGCTTCGCCAGAAATCAGTTTGAACATGCATGGTTTAGTTGTGAGACGTGATCTTTACTGTGCTTCTGTAGGTCGCCGATTGCGCATTTTCGCGTGGAGTTTACGTACATCACATTGCAGTACATGTCATTTACATTTCATTTACATTTCATTTACATTACATTTACGTTACTTTCACATTAAGTTGCAGTAGACTCAGTTGCCTTGGATTGCATTTCATTACATACAGGGGTATTGCCAAGGTTGGGGAAGCATCCGGGACCTGCACATCGCTACCTTGAAGGAATCGAGACCTTCCCCCCCCCACATGGAGGTTAGAATATCAAGCAGTGCGTCAAAAGCCAAGGACAGGCGACATCCCTGTAAAACGACAAAAGACGTCCTGGCGTCGGATGAATGCATCTTCCAGAAGTCATTTTGACGCTGACCCATAGGGAATAAGCACATTTATAGTTACATTATTTGTTTTTTGTGAGGGGTCGCTTGAGAAAATGATATATGACTAAGACACATCATGATCCATTCTAGGAATCTCTATGACTTGACGCTTTGAGTCCTCACTTAGACTCGAGTCAATCTGATCTCTCGCCTTTCTGGCGTTTTGTTAATGCCGCTTGTACGGGATGCAGCTTCTTTGCTTGAGCCATTGGCGAGCTCGTTCGCGAAAGTTCTCAGGGTGGCATGTTGGGCAGTGATGCCGGGGAAAGACTTAGTTTTGGCTTGTGTGCCAGGTGGGAGGGGTAGACAAAACCCGCCCATGTTCGTGCATGAGAGGCATCCCATTCTTCGACGCGGCACCTCCATAGCCCATTTGAGCAATGCTAAACATCACCTAGCGGCAAGGCCAATTTGAGGCGTTCTCTCATGGTGATGCTGAGAGGGGAAACATGTGGAGCCCTCATCCGACTCTAAGAGGGAAGTGGGGCTCCGTGGCCGGAGCCGGTGGGGTATGTGTGTGTGTGTGTCTGTTGATACCCATGTTCAGGTATTGTGAAGGGGAGAGTGCCTGGATTGAGTGGGCTGGGGATACCTGCAGTTTCTCGGTTCCAACCTCCGAGGCCCAAAGTCCTGGAGAAAAGGACGGCGCTGGGTGTGCCGTTGCCGCAATGAGGGCTGTTGAACGGCGGTCAGCCGCTATCATCCCCTGCCACTGGCCACCTCCGAAGAAAAGACATGGAGAGTTCTCACCAGGGATCTTGGACTTTTTTTTGACGATTGGCATTTCAGAAAAACCAAAAGGGCAAATTTTAGGGGGCCAGTTTGAGAAATGTCCACATTGGCCCCGTGGAGATCTACATGTTATGTCAGGCGCATGGCTACGCAAGGGAAGGCATTCCGAGGGCGAAGCCACGCGCTCTTCCTTCTCAAAGGGAGGCAGTTGAAAAGTGACGGGCATGAATCCCCACCGAAATGAAGTCCACCAAAGGATCCTTCACTCTTTCAGCTCGAGTCTTAATTACCATGCTTCTTGCCTTTCCAAAAGTTCGACGCGAGTCTCGTCTCACCGAAAGCAGAGTTCTGCCAAAGAGCACCGCCTGCAAAATGTTCTAAGCGTCGGCCGGCGCGCGCTTCAACGCAGGGATCCTCCAGACTTTTTTTTTTCAGAAAGGGACGTGAGCGGTGGGCTTTTGCACCCAACCGCTGTTGCCCCATTCCCACTGTGAAACTGTTTTTTTGGGGGGGAGTTTGCAGCATAGGGAGAGAAAGACTGATATTATTTACTGCCCCCTGATCAATATTGTGAGCAATATTGTAGACATCCACTTCGCACCAGTTGGGATAGATGCAACCAGATTCAAATACTGGTTGATAAACCACTGAATTCCAACTGGTGCCGATCGGCGGGTGGTTTTGTCCATCAGTAACCCCCTTGCTCAATCAGTTGGCCAAGTGAATTCAAAAGCTGATGTTACTGTTGGTGATCCATTGAGCCGTGAGGCTGTAAAGATTTGCATTCAGATGTAGATATGGGGTCGGCGTTGTCTAAGAAACTCAAGTATGCGCCAAGCCCCACATTCCCATTAGATCGCTGTGACCTACCCGGAACAACGCTTCTGACCACTTTGACCTTTCCTCATAAGCCTTGATTCAACGGTCGCTGGGGGACGACTCCTCTGCGGGCTCCAGCGCGCCAAAGGTTCCCCCACTGAAAGGACAACAGGCCCTTTGCGAGTCCAAAAACAGTTATCGTGGCATTCTGCTGTGGAGTCCATACGCAGCGTAAGCCCAGAGTGCTTGTTTTGGAATTGCCCAGGTGTCACTGCCGGGGAAGTTGGCAGTGTATCAGCACTGCGCACCTCTTTACTTTTTGGCTGGTTTCACTTTGGCATCCCTTTCCGCCTGTCCCAACGGGCTAAACTCGTTTAGATGCAAGGGCCATATCACCACACTTACATTTCGGTCCCATTTGGGGCGCTTTGCAGATTGGTGTTTTCCTGGATCCGTTATGTTGACTGTTTCCAGACGTTGTCAAGGTCAGAAAAGCTGGGTGTCCTACGGAGCTTACCCATTGTTGTGGGTTCCAGGTCCTTTAGATTTGGTTCTTCCAAAAACGGACCCGGGCTGCTTTCAAGTCCTTCCCTTTCAACTCGGGCCAACTTCTTGCACAGTCTCTTCCTGGCGCAGCGCTCAGCTCAAGCCAGTTCTCTCGGTCTCTCCGTCCTCTCGCATAGGCTTGAGGGCTAGGGTAGGGAAATAGCCGACAGCAAAGACTGGTGCCAGAAATCTGCAAAGCTCAAAGATCAATTTCGTGTGTCTTTTGATGAAGAGTAATGTGGGGCAGTGAGTAGCAAAGCCCCCCCCCCCCGCCCCCCACCCCTTCAAACAAATATGGGTTTGTTGTTTTTTGTTGTTGTGTTGAGATGCTTCAAAAGGCAGAAGGTGGGGCCTTCGCGAATCATACCCTCGAATCATACCCCCGAATCATACCCCGAATCATACCCCAATGATACCCCTTCAATGCGTATGCTGCAAGATGCTACTTTTTTCTACAGTTTGTTTTGTTGCCTGTCTCCGCAACAACCACCACCAGCGCCACCTCCTACTAATACTGCTGCCACTACCACTACTCCTCAGCACAGTATCCCTGTAGATCCACAGTAGCAGCCATAAACAAGCACAAGTCGAGAAACGCAATTCAAGCAAAAAATCTGACACTTTTCCGAGCAAGAGGCGTTCCATGCTGCAGCAGTGAATGCTGCTCGCCACGAAATCTGTACCTAGCCTTGCGAAAGTGCTGCGCCTGCAATCTGTATTTGAACTTGCGAAAGTGCTGCGCCTGCCACGAAATCTGTACTTGACCTTATTTCGTATCGCGCCTGCCACGCAGTGTCTGCACCCGACCTCGCGAAAGTGCTGCGCCTGCCACGAAATCTGTACTTGACAGTGCGAAAGTGCGCCTGCCACGAAATCTGCGTGCGCCACCTTGCACGTCCGTGCCAAGGGCATTTGCGATGTGTCCGTGCCAGCACTGCGAAAGCCCTACGCCTGCCACGAAATTTGTACTTGACCTTGCGAAAATCTTGCACCTGCCACGACATCTATACCTCGGTCCCGAACAGGGTACTTTTCGCACATCTTCGGCAGCGACTTCCTGCGCCCTGCCATGCTTTTGCGCATTCTTTATCTGCTTGCGCACCCAGACAAGACGATGAAATTGTGTACCCGAACCATACCTGGACAAGGAGCTTTGCTTGCGAAGGCTAGTGCCGAGACTTTTGCAAAGCTTTCGCACCACTACCGCCGCTGCTGCTCTTGCTCCTACTGCGACTGCTAGGTACTATTGCAGCTACTACTACTACTACCACTACCACTACCACTATCAATATTAAACTTCTATCATACTATTACTACTACTACTACTACTACTACTACTACTACTACTACTACTACTACTACTACTACTACTACTATCAGAGACCCTGAAAGGTGCCCCTTGGCTAAGGTGGCCTTTGTAATTTTGCATACTGTTTCTGCGGTTGCAATTTTAGGGGATGGGTTGTAGCAGTTTGGCTCACTGTCGGACGCTCCCATCGCAAGCGCGGCCGGGAGCCTTAGTGGCAACGGCCACAGCCGCTCGTGGGGCTGAAAAGCCCCAGTGGCTGGGGCTGAAAAGCCCCACCACGTCTCGGGGCTGAAAAGCCCCTGAAAAGCCCCAGTGGCTGGGGCTGAAAAGCCGCAAAAGGCTTGGCTGAATGTGTTGGGCCAAGTAGAGGACCAGATGCCCGGAGCAATCCATATGTTTTGCGGTCCGTTTTAGACAAGGTGCTCCGCCTTTTGGCAGGTCTACTACGGCTCCATCAAAGGCCCAAGGGGCGGCTCGGCGACAGATTGGATGCGTCGGCAGAAGGGAAGAAGGAAACCCAGACCGTTTTATGTTTATTTGTTTGCGGAGGGGAACTCACATTTTTGTGGGAGGGCTTGCTTCTGGCAATCTTTGACCTTTTCCCGAAAGCATTGCGAAGGGTTCTTCCGGTAAAATCGCCAGCCTTATCACACAGCCAAACTTGCGCGAGGCAACTTGCACCAGCCTTATCGCACAGCCAAACTTACACGAGCCAACTTACACGAGCCAACTTCCACGAGCCAACTTGCACGAGCCAACTTGCACGAGCCAACTTGCACGAGAGATCACACAGCCAAACTTGCACGAGACATGTCGACACGAAAGAAATTAGTTAGTCTCTTAAGGCGGCGCGGTGGGACCGAACCCACCCTGCGAAAATGACACCCTCTGCGGGGATTGGCGTGGTCGACGTCCAAAACTGAGGACATTTTACGATTTCTGATTGCGCGCGCGACCCTCTGCGGGGATTGGCGTGGTCGATGTCCAAAAACTGGGGACTTTTTACGATTTCTGATTTGCGCGCACGCGACCCTCTGCGGGGATTGGCGTGGTCGATGTCCAAAAACTGAGGACTTTTTTACAATTTCTGCGGTGCGCGCGCGACCCTCTGCGGGGATTGGCGTGGTCGATGTGCAAAAACTGAGGACATTTTACGATTTCAGATTTGCGCGGGCGACCCTCTGCGGGGATTGGCGTGGTCGATGTGCAAAAACTGAGGAATTTTTACGATTTCTGAGGTGCGAGCGCGACCCTCATGCGGGGATTGGCGTGGTCGATGTGCAAAAACTGAGGACATTTTACGATTTCAGATTTGCGCGGGCGATCCTCTGCGGGGATTGGCGTGGTCGATGTGCAAAAACTGAGGAATTTTTACGATTTCTGAGGCGCGCGCGACCCTCTGCGGGGATTGGCGTGGTCGATGTGCAAAAACTGAGGACTTTTTACGATTTCTGCGGTTCGCGCACCCTCTGCGGGGATCGTGCGTGTCGAAGCGCTCTCGCTGTGGCGCCGTGCGATTTTCTTGCTCACGAAATGGCCTTTGGAAGTTGTCCCGCTGTCGCGGGTTCGATTCCCCCCTGGTCCGCGGCATCTCCGGCTCAAGAACTTGCTCGGAGAACTTGCTCACTCATTCACTCACTCACTGACTCACTCACTCACTCACTCACGCACTCACTGCCTCGCTCACTGACTCGCACTCACTCACTGACTCGCACTCACTCGCACTCACTTACACTCGCTCACTCTCACTTACTCTCACTCACTCTCACTTACTCTCACTCACTCTCGCTCACTCTCACTCACACTCACTCACACTCACGCACACTCACTCACACTCGATCACTCTAACTCACTCTCACTCAGCCGCGTGAGTGATGCTCCCGATAGGGACACACCACGCAGTCGCGGTAGGTGCACCGATGACGGTGATGACCGTATTTTCCGTCGGGTTACTGACGATGAGCAGGAACGCGGAGTTCACCCTGTTAGGGATGACTCCGCATCAGTTTTTGATCAGGACCCACTCGACTTCATCAACGCGACGATGAACATGGGCGTGCCTGCTGGAGGTGATTTGTCACGACATCCCAGCAGGTCACCACGGGCGCTGTCCCCAGGCGAGGCTCAGGCAGAACCGGCCTACGTGGACACTCGACGAGGAGAAGGTTTTGCAGGGGCGTTGATGGGCGTTAGCCCAGGTTCGAATCGGTGTGTTGAGGTTCGAAATCCCGGTCAACTCGATGGGGATGAGTTTCCTCCCCATTCTGATGAGGAACCAAGCGACGGGAATTTCGCATTTTTCATGTCTGCGTCTGCAGGTTGGGGAGATGACTATAGGCCCGAACCAGATGCCGTTAGGCAGATCCGTGATGGTGAAGGTTCCTTTGGTCATCGAGGTATTGATGACGTGTTTGATGAGGAAAGCGAGGCAGCCCGTGCGGATGCAGTTGATGAAGAAGAGAGTAGGGGTATTGCCAGGACTAGAAGTAGTCGGAATGCTGATAGGCATCCTTATAGCACAGGTGGCCTGGACGAATATTGAGCTGTCCTGGGAGTTTCTGATGAAGATGATTCGAATCGCGAAAATATTGCAAGGCTTGTTGATGCAGCAATTCCCAGGAATCCGTCCCCATCCAACGCAGGTCCGAGGGATTTGAACGAGGACCGTGACAGTCGACCCGATAGGGTTAGGGCCGAGTAGAGTAGGCCAATCCTGAGAGAGTTGGACAATGTAAGGAACCGGACTGTGCCGTTAGGCTCTCCGGGATTCGACCACGTTCCTAACATTACCTTTAATAGGGCACGGGGCAGGACGGAGACTCAGGAAGGCACAGCAGGAGATCCCAAGATTGTTAGACAGGCCGCACAGGTGCTTGAGGGCCGGACGGCTCACTGAGGTACTCGCTACTAGTGGACCCAGTCCACTAGACAGCCCGTTAGGGCGCGAGGTCAGCGATGTCGAGCCGCTTAGGTCTAGCAATGAGTTCACTCCCCAATGGGGAGGTGAAGGATCAAGGAACCGTGAAAGGAGTGCGTCCCCTCGCCGGTGGGCGAAGCTGAGGAAAGATCCAAGGCGAGAAGGGCGAGTCCAGAGCCGCTTGGAGTGTCTGCAAGGGATGCTGATATGCCTGATGCAGCTGACATCCGCATCCACTCAACACCCGAATCACGCAGGTCGGAGGAAGCGCCTCGATCTGGCGTTAACCAGAGGCAAGGAGGCAGCCCAGTCAGGTATTTCAGGGCCTCGGATCGACCACCCCTGCACATTCCCCGTAGTCGTGATAGCGAAGAGGACAGGCCCGAAAGAGTCGAGATATCGACAGATCTCGATCATCAAGGAGCTCTGAAACACAGGGGAAGGATGAGTTTGACGCCCGCCTCCAATTGTTGGTTGAAAGGGGTGAGGCTTCTGGCCCAGTTCATTGCATTTGCTGATCAGATTAGGTCCCTGAATGGGCAATTGGTGAGTATGCATAAGCCTTGGTGTGATGAACACAGACAGATAAGGGCAAGGGGCAAGGTCGATCACATGTCAATTGAAGTTGCAGCACAAGCTGATGCAGGGGGCGGCTGGGGACGAAAGTTGCAGCAGTCACCTTCATTATGCTCACTGGCTTGTCGCCCGAGAACTTGCACATGTGCTAGACTCCTTGGTCCGTGTTTCAAGACGGGTCGAAGAGAACCATTTAATCAGCAAGACACGCTCGCCTGAATCCCCAGAGGCGCCGAAGCAATTCCGCAGAAGAGCCGCGCGCAACAAGCCTGGCACGCGGTCGCAATGGCGGACTCCTGCATCCTGGACTGGGACAGACCCAACTTGCCACTGGGGGACGCCAAAGTAGCCAGCGCCGGATCTCTTCCAAAGAACATGTTTAACCCCCCCAAAGGCGGAGCGACGCTGTCAGAGGAACAGCTCAGTTCTCTCATGGAAGAGATCTCAGTCCCGCGCGGCACAAGGAAGCAGTATTGCATTCCTGAGTCATGACTTCACTGGACGGGAAGTGGTCGGAGCTCCGCCAAGTTTGGCAGTCGCTGCTGTTGCTGCCAGGCTCCTACGTGCGATGTGACTCAGACAAGCGCAGCAGATTGGTATTGGCTGGCCGCACGGCTTTTTCTGGCGCACCGGGATCGTGTTGCTGGATGTCAGAGCCATTTCCGAGGAGTGCATTGTGTGGGACTATGTCACTGACCACACAAGGTGGAAGGTGGTGGACACCCAGGCAGCATGAGGCGAGGGATGCCGAACTTGACGGCGTTCTTCTTGAAGCGAGCTGAAGGTGCCGGTGCCGGATCGAGCGCCCGTGACGGAGGCGGGTCTTCTTTGTGCGCTGGCGCACGTGTTTCCGCAGGAGTACTCCGAGCGCTTCATGGAGCAAATCGTGGAGAGGCGGAATGCTGTGCTGGCAGGCACGCCGAAGCTTGAGCTGAGCTCCCCTTTGCGCAGCGGTGACGTTGAACAGGTTCTGCAGGCGCGAGATCCAAGAGTTCAAGCGACGGCAGGAGCGGCAGAAAGCAAAGCTGACTGCCGCAAAGTTGGCAATGGCCCAGGAGACTAGGCGGAGCGCTCAGCTTTTGGCAAGCGGCAACAGTCACCTTTCCGATTCTCCGATACTACTACTACTACTACTACTCCTCCTACTACTACTACTCCTCCTGCTGCTGCTGTTGCTGCTGCTGCCGCTGCTCCTCCTACTACTACTACTGCTGCTGCTACTACTACTACTGCTACTGCCACTGCTACCGCGACTGCTACTGTTTTGGCTACCAGCTACCGCCATTGCTGCTACTACTGCTGCTACTCCTGCTGCTACTCCTGCTGCTACAGCGAATCATACCCCCGAACCATTCCCCGAATCATACCCCGACTCATACCCGCGAATCATACCCCGCACGCAAACCTTCCTCCCCCCCCCCAGTGTAAAACAACACAACACCCCCTCATGTGAGCCTGCTCAAGCAGTCTCTCAGTAAGTGCTGCTTCGTACTGGTTTAGAATTGTTTAGTATTCGTTTGAGCTAGCCTAGTACTGTTTGGAATTAGTTTAGTGTTAGTTTAGTATTCCTTTGTACTGGTTTGGTAGTCTTTAGAATCAACTTTAGAATGTTGAGTACCCTGCGGTACTGGCCCAGAGATTTTGTTCGCTCTCTTGATCATAAATAAAGGCATTTCTAATTTTGTCGGGGCCGGGGCTTCCCTCTACCGCCCCCTTGAAACATTGTTTGGGCAACTGTTTTAGCAAAGAGGGTCATAGGAAATTCGGCTCTTTGGGGCCTCAGTTGGTTTTGCCGGCTCAGGATTGGCTTAGTATTGGTATTGGTTTAGTATTAGTAAGTGTTGGTTTGGTATTGATTAGTTGATTGATCAGAGTTTAGAATTGCCAGGCCTCGGGATCATGATTTTTCTTCTCACCCCCAGACCGGCAGCCAATGATTTTTCCCACCGAAAAAGTTGTCTGTTTTTTTGTTTTTCTCAGGGTGGGGAGTACTGTTAGGAGAACTTTTCTGAATTGAATCCCTATTGACTAGTCGCGGGGACATTCCTTTCTCGGCCATAAACCACCCCCCGGAAATCCTGTAGAGCCAGAAACCCAGAATGAACCAATGGAAAGAAACAATACCCTCCCACCAATTAACATGGACGACCATGTCCTTTAAAGGGACCCCCTGTCAGGTTCCATGATATGTGGTGGGAGAATCAGGATTGGATGGGGTGTGAGCACATCATTGGCTCAGGCAACATGGCGCGCTCCATGCTCCTGCCCGTGGCGGGGGTGCCCGGAAAGGCTGCAGAGGAGTTTTCGGCCCAGGTCCAAGTCAATTATATGCTTCTGAACAAGGGTTTCTGGGAGCTGTGCACATACTCCCCTGCTTATTTGATTGGCATCTCACTCTGCTGAGCACCTCATGTTTTAGTCAAGCGATGATTCCTTTTTTGCGGCCGTGCATATGAGTTGAATGCTTCGTTCCAGCTTGGTATCAAGATAAAGAGAGGTGCAGCGGCGCCGTCCTATGCTGTGAAGGGGTGTGCAGCTGGTGTTTGACGAACCCCCCCCCCCCGGCCCACCAGTTCCTTATAAGGTCTAGGGGTGCAGTGCAGGGCTAGGAGCCAAGGGACGCCGCCAATCAAAATCCCAACGATAAAAATCCTGGGTAACTGGCATCTTGGAGAGATGTGATTGTGGTAGGAATCGGACCCCTAAAGATCGGATTTGGACACCTGCCACGAGTGGGTGGCCTAGACAAGCCTGTCGACGCCACTGCTTGGACTCGTAAATCATTGTCGCGCAATGGTGCTGTAGAGTTGACTACGGTGGCTACGGGTTACCTTGAAGATATTGGAGTCCGAGATTCTGGAAGCTTGGTATTTGCATGACCAAGGCTTGATTTCAGGAGGCCGACCAGACAGGGAAAGGATAGCTTAACATGGTCCTTGGACAGCCCGGCAGCGGATTACTGGAATACATGATACATTGTGGCCTTTGCAATTCCTCGTGACGAAAAGCATTTTCCTCCATTAACAGCGGGCTTGGTATTCCTTCAGGGGAGTTCCGAGGGACAGGCCCAAACACCGGTTGGGCCGCCTTTTTCTTCCCTTACATGGATTCGTATAGGCCATTTTCTTTCATTCATGCCGGGTTTTGATTACACTTCCTGAGTTTATGGACTTTTGGGTTTGGACCATTTTAGCGGCAAACGCCAGTCCACTCGATCGGAAGGCCACTGGGCCGATCGCCGAGGCACTGTGCCTGGCGGTGCTGAGCTTCGTGCGCTCCGCCTGCTTCGTGCAGGCGGGAGATGAATCGGCAAGTCGCTTTCGGGTGGCTCGTTTTTTGTTGGACGCGGAGCCCATGTTTGTTTTTGAGGTGGTTCAAAGGGACACATGGGACACCAAATGGAAAACCTCTATTTGTTGCTTGCTTTTTTGGGGGTGACCTTTGGTTTCATCAAGATTTGAACCCAATGGCGTTGTTTTGTGGAGGCGTGGTGGCCCTGTTTTTTGGAATGGGCTTACGGGAAGGCCAAAAGGAAACCATTTGCCGGTTCCAACTCGGGTTTTGGGTTGGGGTGAAAATGGATGTGGTTCTCTTGGTTCAAACCCGGCGTTTGGGAGAGTCATGCGGAAAGGTCAATCTTTCATTTTCCTCCAGGGAACGTGGAGTTACTTTGGTGGTTCTCGGAGGGACACCGCCCAGTTTTTAAGGCGACAAGGTGAGATGCGGCTGATTCAGTTTGGCTCCAATACTCTTTACCAGTGTCATCCTGTTTCAACCCAAAACAGAAACCAGTGTTTCCGTTTGGTTTCTCTTTGGCAACAGTCCAATGAGGGACGCTCCAAGGAGACTTTGATACTCAACAGGAGACTCAAGCGAGCTCTCGAACTGCTAGCATTTGCTGTGAGGGCTATAGAGGTCTTCACAATGGCAATACGAGGCTGAAATAGTGATTGATACATGTCTCCTATCATGAGTTTGGTTTTGAGGTGCCTCACGCCACTATTCCGCTCATTTCGGCCCTTGCAGTCTCCATCGCCCCCTGTCCCTTGCTCGCCCTTCACCAGGCGCCGGCAAGGACCCTCCAGGCGCGAAAAGGTGTTTTCTGTGGCGAGGTCCGCAAAAACCGAGACACTTGCCCCGTTAACAGAAGCCTGGAAGTGCGCAAACCGCTTTTGGAAGGCTACTTTCCATCTGGAAAGGGCCCTATGTACTGCCATAGTGATTGCTGAAAGGGTAAGCCGGGCTTGTCGCACATATACCTTTAGTTGATTTGGGATTGGTGAGCGCTGGAGGCATAAGTGTCCTTTTTGGCTGTTGTGTTGGGACATAGATGGCGATTCCTGGTGCTAATCTACCAAGGCTATTTGTTTTTTTTCCCACACCCCCTACTGGCAGCTCTCAGTATGTGCCAATTTCCAGCATGTTTAGTTGGGGGGGAAAAGCTGAGGCAGTCTAGTTTCTGTCATGGCCTTGCGCGACGAATTTGTTTGTTTTCAATTTGGTTTGGTACTGCATGGAACCTGTCGTCAAAGGTTGGGAGCTAGCCATCCACTCTGGAGCGCTTTGAGACCGTGTAAGCAAGAGACAAAGCGACAACGAGGGAATTCGGCAGTCTTGTTTTCGCCCAACAACTGCAACAAAAGGCAACACAAATTGATGTGGTTTGCATGTCCGAATGATTGACATCAGGCTGCTTTTCCATGAGTTGAACCAGGCTCCAAAACTGGGGCAATTTTTCTGTTGCCCAGCAAGGCAATCTTCCTCACACAAAGCACGTCGCCGAACATTTAAATGCAGATGTTGCCCACGCATTGAATACAAACACCTTGTGCAATGATGGACTTGGTTATCTACTGCTGTTGTCTTGTTTCATTTGGTTTGGTTGGCTGGCTGCTTGCCTTGCTGGTTGCTTGTTTGATTCACTTGCTTCCTTGTTTGCTTCCCTTCTTTCTGTGTTCCTTATTTGCTTTTGCATTCCTTTGCTTTTGCTATGCTATGTTTTTCTTTGCTTTGCTTGTTTTCCGTGGCTTCTTCAAACGCATGCGCAACACGCGGAACGAGGAATGCCGAGAGCAACTGCGCGAGCGCGCTGCGCGCTGCGTTCCGGATTTCGCAGGCGCAGCAGCTGCGGGCCCTGGAGACCGCCACTCTGGGCACGAGCCTCTCCATGGCAGGCGAGCGAGCTGGGAATGCGGGCGTCCAACGTGCGCCTGGGGTGGACTTGCGGATGGTTGCAAAATCCGTCATCAAGACATGAATCCATGGTGGAAAATTCTAACGTTTCCTGGCATTTACGAATCATTCCAGGGTTTCTGATTGTTAGTTAAATATTCACATCATTAGGAAATCCTCATTTGGTGGTTTGGTTTGGAAATTTCATTGCCGGTTGATCTTGCCAGCTTGGCAACCGGACTTTTTCTTAAGCTGTCGAAGGACAACAAACATCATGCCCGTTCATCTTGGCCTTCTGGCAAGCGCTGTTGGTTTTCATTTTGTTTTTTGTTAATGTGGGGATCTGCTAGTCCAAAGGATTCTGAGCTCGGTACACGGCTGGCCTTTGAGGTGATTGACTTGCCCCTGAGGTTCCAAGGATGGCCGTGATTCGATTCAGGTGGTGCACCACGGTGCAGCCCTGAAGACGGCCTTGGAAGGCAATCGGCTTTATACTCAAGGACACTTTTGGCTTTCTTGAACATCATCTCAGGGGATGCGCGGAGCGGCTTCGATTGCTTGTGTGGTTTGGCCTTGCTGGCTGGACTTAGGTGGGTGTGCTCTTGTTTGAGGGTACCCCGGTCTTGAAGGGAAACCAAGAGGACAACCACCATGATTGGGGGCACCTTAAAAAATGACAGACAAATGCAATATCATCCCTCCCTCTTAACTTGCGAAGGCGCACTGCCGGCCTTTGCCACCTGGAGCGAGGGCTCCGAGCCGGGCCAGAACATCGACCCGGCCGGGGTCTTGAGCGATGCAACGAGACGCCTTTTTTGGCGTCCATCAGTCGCAAGACCCACAATTCAAACAGAAACAGATGCAAAACCGAATTTCAACGCCTAAGATGGCAGTTTCAACCTGAGGTTTGGAACTTGAGATTGGAGACCAGACGATCAGCAAGTCGGTCCAGGGGCTCTTTTGGGAAACTAGATGGCGCTGGCAAATAATTAGAGCCAAACTGAAACTAGTGCCACTGATTTACAGCCAAAGAAGGAACCTTTGTGGGCTGTCATGTTTTGAGGGGCCCCTTTTTTGGGCAAACCCTTGAGATCCTTTTCTCTGACAGGGTTTTTCAACATCCAGAATCCAGCAAGTGAAAAGGGGCTGCTTTTTCCTTGCCATACCCCCAGACTTTCAGCTTGATTGCGATTAAACGTTTATCCTTTAGCAAGGACTGAAGTAACCACCCAGGAACGGAAATCACTGGAGCGGCCATTTTAGGTGGTTCTACTAGCTGGTTTCATAGGGCTTATTTTGTAAGGGCCACATAAATCTGTATCTATGTTATGCATATACATATATAAATATTTATATATATATAACCCTCTTGCTGAGGTTTTGTTGGCTGCCAATTTGTCAGGCGCTTTCAACTCGGGTTTTAGGGACATGGGCCGAAGGTCACCAAGCCATGCCCAGGACTCCACTGAGTACTACAACCGCAAGGCGCGTTGGCTGACTTGGTGAGCCGCCGAGGGGCCGGGGGTCGGGTCTCAGGTTTTAATGACACCTCTGGATGTAGACGAGCGGACGAGTGGGTTGCAAACATTCCGTCTTTCAACGATTGTTTTTTTTGAGTGTGGTATCCTCCAAGGAGCCAAGTGGTACAGCACATCCCATTTGTACTGGTCGCATCGCTCTCACGTGCTCTGTTCAAATTTCGCCTCAGCGCGTCCACTTCTTTGCAGAATGGTGGGTCCTTCTCAAAGTTTGATTATTCGTGCTATCTATTGTAGCGCCTTTCCATAGTTGGGGTTAGCAGACCTCAGGAGAGAACATGTTGGGCCCCCAGTTATTTTTATTCGGTTGCCCGTAATTAGACAGGCCTCACGGTGAAGGTCGCATTCTGAAGGCATATCATGAAACACACGGCGTTGAGTTATTGTGGTTGTAACCTCCCAAATGGTTGGTGGACATACCCCATGAACATGTCCACCAAAGGGTCCCTAGGCCCCAGTCAAGACCGACACCCGCAACAGAACCGTCCTTGCAGTCTAGACTCCAGACTAGCGTACGCCAGCGTGGCGGCTGGTAATAAGCCATGATACAGCGGTGAACACAGTTTTCACCCAAGTGATTTTGTATGGAACATATTCCTTTGGCAACAAGAAGCTACCTTACCAGGGGATTTGCGACCTTGCTGCCTATGATGAAGGCCCCCCAATTCCCAATTATCCGTTGTGCTTTCAGTCGCCGGGCTCAAATGCTCAGAGCCTTGAAGGGGGCGGTTTCTCAGCGCGCCCTGCGCCATGTGAGCACCCGCGCGGCCAACGCGAGCGGCTCCAATGCGAGCGGCGCGGCGCACGGCGCGGTGTTGAGCCGCTCGCGGTCGCTGCTGGAACCGGACATCGCGCCTTGGGTGGGGCCTGGGCAAAACGCGTTGCCGGACAAGGCTTGTCTTTTTCGGGCTGGCTCTCCTACTTGTATGTCCAAATGATCGTATCTTCCTGGGTGCCAAACATCGTGCTTACACGTTGTGGTACTGCGGATGGACCAATTCCTGCAGCATTTGGATTTCGGTGGTTATATCAGCATTCAGAGGGCTTCATCCATCCTCACTGGTGTGAAGTAGATTTTCTCCATCCGCAGCAAGCATAAGGATTCCAAGCCTTCCCTGAAGGGTGAATCAAAGGTCGGCAGCTAGGTGCTGAAATTTCCAGAACCCACGCAGTTTTGAGGTGCTTCTCAAAATTACCGCTAGTGGTTGCTTCCTCTTGGCTTCCCCTGACGCCCTCCAAACTCATGGGGTTTGGGGAAAATGGGGGGGAGATTGAGCCCTTAGCTTCGGGCTCCCCCTCCCTAGCCCCCGCTGCAATGAAAGGCGGATCGCTGTTGAGCCAACCCCTGCGCTTAGGAGCGGTGTGCAGACTGCGCCGCCGTGCTGCGCGTGGGCGCGAGCACCTCGCTGCCTTTGGGGCTGGTGGATCTGCGGTGCTTCCTGCAGCGGTTGAAGGCAGTTGGGTGCTTTTTGCCACACCCTTCGTGCTTGTTTTTTGGGAGTTCTCCTTTAAACTCGACCGACCAAGAAAGGGTGCCAAGAGCCCTGTGTTTTTTTCCCAAGGCCACTGGGCATCTGAGCGAAAATGGCCTGGGTGTCTCCAAATAGCGATGCCCACAAAGCAGGTCTTTTAAACAACCTTCAGATGGTTTTCGGTCAATGTGTACATGTGTGAGTGTTTCTGAAAGTGGGCACCCCCGGCTAAAGTCGTATCGGTTTGTCACCAAATGTGTGGAAACAAGATGTGGCCTGGTTTCCGCTTGACTTCCCTCGGAGCCAAGGTGAAACGCCCTCAAGCGATTCGTACTTTGCCCGGTTTTGCCCACAACCTCCGGCAAAATTATGGAGCCAGGCCTTGAAGAAGATGCCGCACTCCGGAACTGACCTGCGGCAGTTCCTGGCGAAGGTGGAGGACCGGGGAGCCAGGGTTTCTACAAATTGGTGGACCCTCTGTTGGGAAGGGAAACAGCCCATCTTGGGGGAAGTAAGTGTGTGTGTGTGTGTCTCTGTGTGCTCGTTGTGCATAGCTGGTTGTTTTAGACCTGGGAACAAACGTTTGTTCCACTAAGAGATCTAGCAACCTTTTGCTTTGGGGGAAGAGCAACCCAGGAAATTCTCCAGGAAGGTAGCCAAATACCCTGGTTGAGACAGGTGGCTGTTTTGTGTTGGGACATGGTTTTCGACACAAGCAGGTATTTTCCGAATCCGGGAGCCCTTGAAGGCGTGTGTCCTTTTGGTTTTACTTTCCAAATTTCAAGTGAAGGCACCGCCTTTCTGGCTTCAGCCAAATTGAGTGATGTGTGAACGTTTGCGCTTGAGCAGCCCAAGCTTGATCATAGAAGATGTCGTGGGGGGTGGAGGTTGCACCTCAACCAGACCTAGAGACCTGGCATGTCACTAGGGCATTTCCCTCCACAAAGGGCCCCTTCAAATTCTCACCCACGGTTGGGGTTCCCTTTGAAAGCGGCCCGTGCCCAGTTGTTTGAACCAACCAGCCTCCAATGGATCCCAGTTTCCAGCCATCCCATTTGTTGATTTACAGGGTGGTTCCCTTGCCTACTGGCTGCCTAAATGGCATCACAAGCCTACTAGCTCCTAGGAGGCTTATGACGATTCCCCACTGAGAACCAGCAATAATGTCGCCCAGCTGAAAAATGCCCACGTGGGACATGCCATTGTCCTTTCATTCGCGAGGGTGTCTGGTTGGCCCCCTTTGGGGCCATGTGAATTATTTGATTAAAATTAACTGCAAAAAGCAGACACTAGCGCACTCTGCGACGTTCTATTATTACCAGTTCAGGTTTTGTTTAGCATTTGGCAAATCCCCATTGCTAAACATCAGCACATGTGTATGCCCATATCTTTTGTAAGCTCACTTATTTCGGGGAATCACTGCCCCCCAGCCACGAAGGCCCCGTCTGACGTCAGGAGGGCCTGCCGGCCATGGGCGCGGAGGGCGCCTTCCTGGCGCTCAGCTCCTTCGCGGAGCTGCGGTGCCGCCAGGCGATCGCTCCGGTCGGAGTCCGGTGGATCGGGCCATGAAAGTCGCTGCGGATGGCGAAATCTGTTCCTGACTGGTAGCGCTTGTCCGGTTCATTTCCAAGGACACAGCCTACTGATGGTTGCGAAATCCATCCGACGCACCGCTCAGACACTCTGGTTTCTGATTCGATTCCCCAGCGTACAAACCAAGAAACGTCATGGGTTTCAACCATGGCTTCAAAGTGGTGCGAACTTAATTTCTCATCCATCCGCAGTATGGGGTTTGTCTTGAAATAGGAGTTCCCCCCCCCCCCCCCAAAACAAAAAACAAAGCACAAAACAATATCGACAAGTCTCTGGGTGTATTTGCTCTTCAAAATGATGGGAGTTCTTTCGGTTTCCCACTAAACCGCAACCCAACCATACCCAACCCCCCAACGACGTTTCAGGAGGAACCACCTCAAAAGTGGATAGACATATATCCCTGTTTAAATGATGCCCACTAGAGGGTCCCTCATCATTTCTTTACACCCATATTTGCCTGTTTGGTGGTTTCGCGGGCAAAAACGCAGTTGACAGGGGAGTAGGACTATTCAATTCAGGGGTACCTACCTGCCCATGAATCACCTCTTTTAGGTGGTTGGTGTACGTTGTACATAAATCCCCACCCAAATGATGCTGGCCGCTCTTCAACCTTTAGCTTTTTGGACAATGTGTGTTTTTCCACTCGCAAAAGGTTAAAAGTTGTGCCCGAAGTGCAATAGACACACAGCTCAGGTGTCGGTTTTCTCTTTGAATTCGCCTTTGAAGCCCCCAAAGGGTCATAAGAAGACACACACACACACACCCAGCGGGTGAACCCAAATTTGGGTCAAGCCCTTTGGGGTGAACCCAAAGGCTAGGTTGAAGGGTCATAGTTGGGGTTGGTGACTTGCTAGGATGAAAGTGACTGCCATTTCATAGGCTAAGGGACTAAAAACAAATCATGTCGTGTGGCTATTGTTTGAGCTCACGGATCCAAATCTTAAGACAGGTCTTAGAATGTAGATTTTGCGGATAATATGTATGACTTGCAGATTGCTTGTATTGGCAGTTGACTCCCCATTTGCTTTTAGACTCCAGTCGGGTTTCTGCCACGGCCTTGACCCGTGAGGGTGCAGTCTTCGCTTGGCCGCTGGTGCTTCAGAGGCGGAAGGCTGGGCCATGGGAAAGCACTCGGAGTGCCGAGCCGGTGTGGATTTTGGAGGGTGCCGAAGCCCTGGTACCGTTGGGACGGAACGGGGAATTCAAAGGGACGTTCCACATAAATTTGTTGGACAACTCGCAGCTTTGTTGTGTTTTTCATATCTCCTTTGAACAACTATTCCAATAGGGCCTGTAGGGTCTAACAGCAACCATTTGAGGGTACCCCCTATTCCATACATATGTTTCCTATTCTGAGGGTTGAGGGTGATGTTTCCTTTGAACACACCAGGAACCGTCACCCTAGTCCTTCCGTCCACAGAGGAGCTGCCGGCCACGTGGCTCGCGGAGAGCGTGTGGGCCGCCTCTGCGGTGCCGGCCCCGCCCAAGGCGCGCGCGGCTTGCGCTTTTGGCGCTTTGGGCGGGTGGCCCGGGTGGAGCGGTGGAAGGCTTCCGATAAATCAATGAATACTTCCATTTGCTTTAGATGTTTTTTCTTGCTGGTTTTAAAAGAGACTACTGCAAATAGATTTGTTTCCCTGGCGACTTGAGCAAACAGGAGAACACAACGAAACAATGAATTAAGACACAAACTAACGAGTCAAATCTGTGTGTAATATTTGTGTACGTGCATCCTTCCATCCAGCCGTCCGCCCGTTCCTTTGTCTCTCCGTCCAGCACACGCTAGGCATGCATATGTGCATATTTGGTGATCGATTCATTTTCCACGAGGCGCCCGCCTTCGGTTGCGTTGGGCAGAATTGGTTTGAACAGCTGCACCACG